CATTTATCCTTTCTTCATGGAAAAAACATTCAAAAGTCTCTCCTCTAGCAATTATATAAATTACAAAACCTAACTATTAACCATAGTCACCTTACTGTGCAATAGAACATCAGAACTTATTTCTCCTATCTAATTGTAATTTTGTATCTATTGGCCAGACTCTGCCTGTACCTCTCTTCCCTTCCCCAGTCTCTGGTAACTGTTATTCTACTCTCTGACTCTATAATATCAACTTTTCCCCCCTCTCTTATATTCCACATGAGTGAGGTCTTGTGGTATTTGTCTTTCTGTAAGTCTTACTTTCTGAAGTCCCCTTCCCCTCCGTTATCAAATAGTAATATTTACTATTACTATTACTTGCAACCTTACTATGTGCCAGGCATTGAGTTGTACTACAACTGTGTTTTATTTAGTTTTCAAAACTCTGTTATATTAAGGTACGATTATTTCTAAAATGAGGAGGCCCACCACCCATGAACAAGTCAGGACCCAGTGTCTCACCCACCTGCCCCGATTGGGGACTCACAGGCAGGGGAAAAGTCCCCAGGAAGCCCACCCACTTGCCTGCGAACAAGGCAGGAACTCAGTGCTGCCCGCCCACCGTGAACGGGAGACCCTGCACCACGTCCGAGGAGGTGGTCCACAACAGCCACCTCCACAGCTTCTACCACTGCAAGGGTGGCTGGTGGCCACAGGAGCAGCCACCACCAGCATGCAGGTGGCCTGCTGTATATTCAACTGCATTGACACAAGGAGAGTCACCAGAGAAGCCTGGAAAAAGAGGAGGAAGTCTTTCTCCTCAAAATCCACACCAGAGTAATAGAAACAGCAACTGATCTACCAGATAACCAGAAATCAACATACAGATAATAGAAGTACAGAAAAACAAAACAAACAAACAACTCCCCCCCCAAAATCCCAAGAACATACACTGAGGAAAAGATTGCCTCTTCAATTAATGGTGCTGGGAAATTTGGACATCATAGGCAGAAGAATAAAACTGGACCTGGCACCTCTCGCTATATAAGAAAATCAATTCAAAATGTTTTAAAGACTTAAATATAAGACCTGAAATTATAA